GCCCTACCAGCAACTCCAATACATCCACCACGGTCACCCAACCACACAAAGCCAGCTCGCTCCGGCGCCGCCTCCAGGGCCCCAGTACGACCCTCATCACCCACAACACAGGCCGGTGCACTCGCACCCGCCGCCGCCACCACCACCACCACCACCACAACAACAACAACAGTTTAGTGTCGGCCCACCGCATCACCCTGGTGTGCCCATTGGCGTGCCGGTAGCGCATCATCCCCATTCCCATCCGCAGCCGTCGCCGATAGCGCCCAACTTCCCCACGCCTAACAGGCATCACCAGCCACCTCCGATGGGAACTCCTATCCAGCAGCACGCGCCAGCCATGCCACAACAGCTCGCCCCAGGTCCCTCGGCTGGTAATACATACAATGCCCCACGTGCCCCCGAGACCTACACCCTTGCCGAGAACATCGACAGTGAGATCCCGGAGGAGGTGAAGAAGCAGTTCCAGACGGACGATCAAGGACGTGTCTTATTTTTCACCGCGCCGCCTCTAAACAGGCCTTCTATTCGCAATGGTGGCGTAGCGGAGCAGTACGCTGGACTAGGCCACAGTGTTCACTGGGAGAGCATCAAGACGCTCAGGGAGGAGCGCAGGCGGAAGAGGAAGGAACGGGATGAAGCGCTACAGGAAGAGGAGAACAAGCGCAAAGCTGCCAAAATCGCCGAGGAAAAGGCGAGTGGCGAGGGTGATGAGCACAAGCAGGCCCTGACTCTACTGGAGAAAGGCATCCTTCAGTGGTGCGAGCAGATGCAGAAGGGGACGAAGCATCTTGAGGAATTGCTAGGAGGCAGGGAGGAATGGGAAGAGATGATGAAGCAAAGCAAGGAGGAGAATAAGGACCTAACGGAGGCGGAGATCAGGAAGAAGAACTTGAGGTGGTGGTTTGAGGACCAGATCAAGAAGGGGTTGGTTACGGAGGAGGAGAGGAAACAGTTGGAGGAGGCTTTTCTCGCTGATGAAAAGGGCTTGACGAGCCTCAAGGCGACGGGGGTGAAGGCTTAGGAGTCTTTGGATTCCACGCACATTCGCGATTGAGGTCGCTTATGGCAGGGGGGAAGGAAGTGGATTGCCGTACTGGAAGTGTTCATATGGAGGAGCTTCTGATTGACCGGTGCCACTTCTACTTTGGCCAGTGTCATGAGTTGCTGTATGCGAACACGCAGAGTTTACGGCATCCACATCATGATCATTCACAGGGGTTTTCTTCGGTAAAAGATGTAGTGTTTTATTAGGATATCAAAAGAGATTAAGGTACTAGGGTCTTTGGCACAGGACGTTGACAGGTTAGAGTTGGTGAATATGCCTAGGAGTTTATCGTTTTCCCACGCAAGCTGGTCAATTGTTAGTTCGAGGCGTCAAAATATCCAATGTCGTTATAGCTCCAAGAAGATAAAGTCTCACTAGGAGATGAGCATCTGAAGAATATTCATTACGGAGTATCGCCAACGCATTTACCACCAACACGGTCTCGATCTTGGATTCAACTTGCTCTTCTTCATTCAGGACACAGCGGGGATTTCGCAAACTTCAAAAGCATGCTGATAACGATAACAAAATGCAACTTGACAAACTTCGACATGCCCATGGCCATCAAGGTTCCTAGGAACGGCACCGATAACGGATAAGCCTTGACAAATTGTTTATATCTGGGCGTACAGTACAAGTATTTACCGCAATATTTCGCAGCGTTGGGTCTCAGGGTTGTGACAAATCTCAGCGATAACCCTCACCTTAAGGCAGCCGATCGAGGGTTAATCGTAGAGATTTGTCAGAACCCTGAGACCCAACGCCGCGAAATATTGCGGTACGTATCCGGTACTCGACGGTCCAGTCCGCTGCTTCACAGGCGACGGCGGCAGATGACAGGGCAGATTGGGAGACGGCAGTAAGACCCGACACTCTAGACGCCTATCCATGACTGGACAGTTCCGCCGACTCCGTGAAGGCCATGTTGGTTGAGGCGCAAAACCTGAATCCTGAGAGGTGAAGGTTGGTACACAAGAGGTATCTCAGATCCGTATTTACGACGGGAACTTGGAACCCCCATATAGAGAAAGGCGACGGTGCTCGGAGTTCTCATCCGGTATCAGCGTGTGAATGCGTGACTATTCTTCAACACAAGTCTTCTACAGGGGTTTTGCGGCTCTGCGGCCTGCAGTGAGGGAGGGCTTGGGCGCCTGAAAAAAAAGGTACGATGTACCTTACATTCACTGGAATGCATTTCACGGTTTGAGAGACGACGGGAGAGAATCTCCAATCATTGGCCACACACTCCCGTCAACCATGCTGGCGGTCCGGCATCCTGAGCAAACGCCCAAAAGGCGAACAAGCTTGCCAGCTGACGTCAGAGTCTTTGACCAATCCTGTCACGCTGGGCCTCTCGCCGTTGGGGTCATCCACTCACTGCACTCACTACAGTAACCCTACAACTTTGTATCAGTCACCCCGATAATTTGCCCCCCTCTTCCCCCTCCTCACCACCTTCCCCGGGATATTTGGAGTCAGTCTGCCTGAAGCCAGCAACTTCAATTCCCATTGAATTATCCTGACTACTATTCTAACAAATAACCTCAGATAACCCACAAGGTCTCTTTTTTCGGCAAGCAGGTCAAGCACCGTACTTGCAAGCATCACTCACACGCAGGCCACGCCACGCCACGCCGCGGCTTGGACTTGAAGGCTAGGTGCTCTGCTGCATTACGTACCGCCGTCAAATTGAGCCTGCGCCGCCCCTCACTGCCGCCGCTCTCGCCTTCCTGTCGTCCTTTCTCAACTTCATCTCACCTTTTGACACCTTCTCCAGTCGCGTCAGGTCTTTGGATGTTCTGGAACCTAAACACTGGAAATCAAATACACAACTTTCACCTCGCCAATTCACCACCGGCTGCTCTCTTTTTTTGCGCAAGCTGGCACACCCAACTTAAACAGCCGCATCTACCCACCACTTCCGACATCCCCAAGCCTTGCGCAATCCTATTCAATCTTTTTCCTCTTTTTGTTCTTGTCTTTTATGCGCTGCATTGCTGGTTTTCATCAAGGTAGAAACACCATCGTCGCAAGCACTCTCTTCTTCTCGTAGCATGGGCGGCGCCTTTACAATGCTTTTTGTTATTCAGCATCGTTCCCCCGCCCTCGATTACCTTTTTCTGCTCTAGAAACAGAGCCCGACTGACCATTTTCGGATTCACCTGCTTGTCCATCAATTCGCCGGACAATCCGCAGGACAACCCGCCGACAAGAAGCCCGGTCTTTTGGCCTCCTACTTTCAACTTCATCATTTGGAACACCCCTTGGATTTGCTCACGTCGCCAGTCCACCAAGAGCTATCCTTACCGTCTCCTTCAACATCTAAACCATCCGGGTTTCACCACACCACACCAGCCAAGTCTCTCCCGCTTCGCCATTCCAATCCCCACGCCAACGGAGCCTCACCCAAGCCTGGTGCTATCATACCATCATGGCGACTTCGTTCTTTGGCCGCAACGAGCCTGAGGGCCGTCGGCTTGGTTCCGACTTTTCTCTGGTTGCCAAATGGGGAGAATCATATTTCCAGCGCATTTCTTCCCTCGCAGTTCCCGTCGCTCGACTTTCGCCAGCCGATCAAGAAACCCTTTTCTCAAACACAACATGCGAGTTCCGCATCTGCGAACAGCCCGATATGACTGTCAAACTCGAGACTGTTCCTCACTCACAGGTCTTGGAGCCCCCTAACTGGGACGATTTCCGGAAGACCGCCGATCCTGAAGTGGTGGCCATGATGTCCCACCCCAAGTACGCCGAGCTCGTACGCAAGCATGAAGAGATGGACAAGCTTGTGGAAGACTCTGAGCCTGAAGCCGCACGCATCTACTGGGCTTTCCGCAACAAGGCTGGGAATGCGGGCTGCGACCGCGAGGCCGCCGACGCATACGCCCAGCAGGCCGCTAACGACTACATCACCCAGGCCGGCCATTCCCTCATGCGGAAGAGGAAGGAACAGAGACGGGCCAGTCAGCGTCAGAGCGCACTATCCCTCAAGGCCACCAAGCAGTCTGAGAGAACTGCGAGATACCCGAAGAGTGTCGATGAGATTGAAGCTGCCATCATTCAGGCAATCAAGGAATCCAAACACAATCCTGCGACACCGGCCGCGCGCAAGAAAGATCTCAAGATCGATCCGCGAGCCGCACCAACTGGCAAAGACGAAAGATCCCCCACTCCTACGACGAGCCCTCTACATGGCAGTGACACTTCCGCTCGCTCCGCTCGCTCCGCTTTATCAGATAGCCCACCATCATCCCACTCGACTCCTTCGCCTACCCTTCTCCCGAAACCCGCCATTACCATTTTGAAGAGACCTCAGCCGAGATCTAATACCAAAGTCGGGAACAGCAGCGGTAACACTGCATCACCCACACCATTTGCTTCGATCAATACACCCAAGTCCGCACCTCTGCCATCCATGGGAAGCGTAGCTGGATTTACTTACATGAACCCCAACGGACCCTTCATTGGAACGCCGCCGATGTATAGTCCCGGTAACCTGGTTCCTCTTGCTAGTCCTTACCCATATCCATTCGTTTACGCTGGAAATGTCCATTACGGGCCTGTTGTCAATGGCCACGTGATGGCCAACTACACCTTACCGTGGACGTCACCTGCCACTCCCATCGCTGCCAACCTCGATGAAAATCGCACCGCTAGTCCGAGGACTGCGTCCAAACAACTCAATGGTTCAGGCAAGGCAGCGGTTGAGACCATACTTCCACGCCCAGAGAATCAGTATCAGGTGGCCAAGTCCCAGCCGTATAGTAACATCACTTGTTACGAGGTGAAACATCCTTTCCCCGGCACTGGTGACATTCTCCCGGCTTACTGGACAACCAAGGAAGACAAGGCTTGTCTTCTCTTCGATAAGCTCGCTGGTTTGAGGACCAAAGATAAGAAGGTTCAGAAGGAGTATACGTCTGGAACGAACGCAGGTCCATCGAATACAATTCATGTCTTTGTCGATCTTTCCAACATCGTCATCGGTTTCTACGACACCATGAAGAAGAGCCGTGGCTTCTCGCCACAAAAGCGGCTTAAGGTGCCATTCTCGTTCAAGAACTTCGATACCATCCTCACTCGTGGCCGAAAGGTTGAGAAGAGGGTCGTTGCAGGTTCTGTGAGCAATCACAGCTACAGGCGTCCAGATTACATGACTGAAGCTGCGGAGCTCAAGTACGAGATGTGCATCCTCTCACGCGTGGCGAAGCCATTTTCTTCGGATGCTAGCAAGAAATCCAAGAAATATAGTCGCCGCTCTGAAGGCTCAGGCGATGGCCTTGAATCGCGCACTGAACAGTGTGTTGATGAGCTACTCCACCTGAAGATCCTGCAGAGCGCTCTGGATGTTCCGAACCCCGGCACCATGGTTCTTGCTACAGGAGATGCTGCGTGCGCCGAGTACTCGGATGGTTTCAAAAAGAACACTGAGCGGGCACTGGCTCGCGGCTGGAGAATCGAGCTTTACGGCTGGAAAGACAACATCGCGAGGGATTGGCGGGACCCGGAGTTCACCTCCAGATGGGGTTCTCGATTTAGGATCATCGAGCTTGACGACTTCTGTGAAGAGCTTTTGGACCTCACCGTCAAGTCGTTGGGCAAGTCACAGTAAGAAACTCCATCGTGGAAGGTTGGACTGGGCACCTTTTGAATTCTTGTCGAATAATGACAAGCAAGCGTCGAACGCTTGTTGATACCGGCATTTGAAAGCCGGATCTGCATACTTGCATTTCACCTGTACTTGCATCTGCTACAAGGTCTCGTCACCGCTCGAGATGTTGAGCTATCCCGCTCACTTACTCCTCGGCTCCATCCTCATCGTTCGTTTTCTTCATGCGGCATCGTCTGCCAGTTCTCATGTTGGCGCATTTACTGGTGGTCGTTGCGACACTACTTTTTCGGCTTCTCTTTTTCCATCAACGGCATTTTTACATTTCATCGCCATGTCGTTTATCATGTAAATGGTAAAATGGCAGACGGTGTAATTTCGGGCATTATTCTTTCTTCTCATATTTCTCTTTAACTGTTCGAAAGACTCTACATCAACGAGCACCAAACACGACAGAAAGCGGTTTCGAAGATCGCATTTCTACATCACTGCTGCCTTTGAGCAGCTGCATCGCAATCGGAATCTTCTCTGAAACGGGAAGTACACACAAAGTCATATTTGACTTGACTGGGCCAACACACCGGCATGGGTATGCATGACATCATTCTCTTCGATCGACACTACACTCCTTGTGGACCTTCATTGAGTACACCTGGAATATGAAGGGACAGGCTCGTTCTCTCTGCTGCTTAGACAGCAAAGTTACGAACCATTCATCTTTTTCATATCCCCAGGCGGCAGACATTCTCACATTCGTTACCGACACGAAAAGTCCATACTGTTCATCATCCATGAGCATTTACTCTTCCACCAACAGGCTCTTCTCCATCTTTGTCTACTCCATTTTTTTTCCTGGTCATCTATTGTCTGCTTCGCAAAAGGGAACTTGCGTGCATATTTGACAGATGGTACCAGGATAACATGGCATGCTCAGGCTTGCAGCGCTAGCTCTGGACATCCTTTTCTCTTCATTTTGCGACAACAGCAGCAGCACAGCGACGATAATGATTCAATAAAAATCATGACATAAACTTACGATGACGAATGACGCGGGCTGTCTATTCTTTGGGGGTGGTTTGAGCCACATATAATGGACTGAATCTGGTAACAAAGAAGGGGGGGTTGATGAAGGCGACATGGAGGAATTTGAACCGACACATATACGGCCCGGTTGCCTCATGGCACCATGGCTGGGATTTATGTGTGGGATCTGGTTTCCTTGATCTCGTCACGATTTTCTTCTTTCTTTTCTGATTCTGGGGCCGCATCACATCACATCATGGATACAAAACGGAGTTGGGAAAGCTTTTAGCATTTGAGCATTGTTTGGGGTTGGGATGTTTTACTCTGGATGGATGGATGGATGGATGGGACGGACAAAGGGGCGTTTTTTTTTTTTAACTTATTACGGCAGGCATATTTGGTACTCGTTGCATATCCATTTTTCACTATCACACATACATCATGATGCGCCGTCTGCTGCATCCGGTCTTGTTCTGTTTTGTATTATATACAGATACAGACAGACTACGGTATTGTGCAGCGGTTACAGCTTCTGTCCAACTAACTACACATAAACCACTACTCTACTCTAGTGGCCAGAGAGAGAGAGCTCTGTTATCATTGTTATCGACTTTCTTTCTTTCTTTTCTTTGGGAGAGGAGGAGGGTGGATATGCGACAAAAGGATATGGAGTTTCTTCAACTGGTTCACTGGCTATGGTAGCATGGTGTTTGGTGTTGGCAGAATAGGGTTTGGTTTGGCATTCTCATTTTTTTTATCATGATCATCAGCAGCAGCAAAGGAGGGAGTTAAGGGAAGGGAAGGGACACAGCGAAATGTAAATGGGATCAACGAGCGAAATGAAAACCTGCTGGATGATGATGATACCCTGCTCGATTATTAGATTTGCATAGGTTAATTATCATGCAGGTGACACAAATATTATTGGTAGTTTGCGTAAACGAAAATGGATGAGCGTTGTCGCCTTATGTGTCGATATCTTCCAAGCTTATGGGATTGTGGTGTCACAACCTACCAGAAAAGAGTGTTGCGAGCCAGGTAGGTAGGTAGTTATCGAAGTCAGCAAGTCGTTCATACGTATAATGGCCATCCTCGAGAGTGACTACTGTACATTCACGCCAGCCACCGATCGACTCGATACTACACCATCCACGCATACTTTCCCGAACACGTTCGGTAGCTCATCTACTGCCGAATAAATAAACGAACGACGGGACCTCGCATTCGTAGGTAACCCCTCATTTGTTGTACCTAGGCAAATTGGCATGTATGTAGTCGGACTCGATCAAACTCGGTAGATGAACAAGTAAAACGTTCCCATACTTTAGTTCTTTTCACTTTCTCTTACCCTCTACATTTTAACATCAACATCAACATCAACATCAACATCAACATCAACCCAAGAAACCATAACCATAACCGTAACTTAAAAAAATAAAAAATGAAAAAACATGAACATAATCATAAAAGGCGGCGCCTCAGGAATAGGCCTCACTCTAACCCGACACTTTGCTTCCCAGCCACTCCTTTCTTTTTCTCCATCATCTACTTCCCCCCAACAGCAACAAAATCCATCCCAAGATACATACCAAGAAATACCCCACCAGCTTAAACACAAAATCGTCATTCTAGACATCAACACCCACCAAGGTCCCCTCCTCGCCGCCTCCATCGCCTCCGAATTTTCGCAAACATGTGCCCAGATAAAAATTTTATTAAGTGCGATGTCTCCAGCTGGAAGGAGCAGGCGAGAGCGTTCAAGGAGACTGTGACATCGCCATCGGTGTGGCGGGGGAGGTTGGATTTGGTGGTTGCCAATCCTGGTATTGGAAGGGGGGTGGGGGGAGTGTGGTTGAGGATTTTCTACTTGGGAGTGTTGATGGTGGGAATGGTGAGCGTGGTGAGCGTGGTGAGCGTGGTGAGGGTTGTGAGGGTAGTGGGAATGGTGAGGGTGATGATGGTAGTGAAGGTGACGAGGATGGTGAGAATAGGGAGGGTGGTGGTGAGGGTGTTGGTGAAGGTAACGAGGGACCAGAGAAACTGGGGTTGAGAGTGTTGGAGGTTAATCTCTTGGGGGTTATTTACTGTAAGTTCTTCTTTCTTTTTTTCTTTTTGGTTTCACTTCTTGGAAGGTCGGGTGTTATACCTGTCTGCTTGCTGGTTTCCATTCTGCTGATGGATGGATGGGTGTATGGATGTCTGAACTGTTGTGTGGCACTATGTATGAGCTGGACTGGATGTATATACTGCCTCACTGGATCACGGAAACAGAACGGAAATGCTAACCACCCACTCACCTTGCTCGTACTTGCGCGCAAAAACACAGCCGCCAAGGTAGCAAGTTACTACATGAACAGAAACCCTCCTCCTCCTCCTCCTCCTCGTCACGGAAACAGAACGGAAATAGCTAACCACCCACCTCACCTTCGTCTCGTACTTGTCGCGCAAACAACAGCGCCACGTAGCAGTACTACATGAACAGAACCCTACCTCCCTCCTCCTCCTCCTCCTCCTCCTCCTCCTCCTCCTCCTCCTCCTCCTCCTCCTCCTTCTCTTCCAGCTGGTCTCACTTCCCCTCTTGCGGGACGAAGAGGCTCAATAATCTGCACCGCCTCCAACGCCGGACTCTACCCTTTTCCCGTATCGCCATTATATGCTGCCTCCAAGGCGGGCGTGATCTCGCTGGTCCGTTCTTCGGCGAGGGTTCTGGCAAGGGGAAACATCCAGATCAATGCTTTGGCTCCTGCTACTCTTGGTTCGTTCGTTTTGGGATTTCCCCTCCTTCTTCTTCTTTCTTTCGTTTTTTTACTTCCCTCCTTCCATCCCCACGCGCATCAAATCCGCCTTATACTCGCCCAGCCAGAACCTCAAATATTACAAACTGACACCCACTGACTGACACTAACCCAACAACCACTCCAGAAACAAACATAGCCCCCTCAAAAGACCTCTTCAAATGCATGACCGTCACACCCATGGATGTTCTACTCCGCGGCGTCGACATGTTCCTAGCGGATCCGAGCCTGACGGGACAAGTGGCCGAGATCCATGGGGATGGCACGGGGGCAGAAGATGGCGGTGGAGGCAGTGGTGGCGTGACGATCCGACCGCCTCATGAGTTCGTGGATGAGGCTAGTGAGAGAAACATTGAGGCGTTTTGGGGGTTGGGGTATGCTTGTTCTTTACTTTTTGTTTCCATTCTCGTTAGTAACTTATTGTTGCTAGTCAAGGAATTTTGAAAGAGGGGGGGGGAAGGGGAGTTGTGGGGAGTTGAGTGTCTGAGTGATTTTGTCTGCCTCTCTTGAGATAACTATGTATGATGGATGACATGAAAGACTTAAGGCAAATCGATGTGTTTAAGAGCTATAGCCGTTGCAGCATTGTCACCAACCGGTTCATAAAAATAAACTCCTTCCCGCTGTCCGGTCACGATCTGACCAACAGTGACGATAACAACCTGAAAACCTACCTCACATCGCCACACTCACCTGTTCAACATGCTCAATCTACATCTGGCACCAATGCAAAGCCACCTTATACATAACACCATAAGAAGAGCACACAAATTGAAGCTCGAAATCGCATAAATGCAACACACAACCTAACCAAAAACCAACTAATGATATATGTATATATAAAAAGCACACATCCAAGAAAAACAAACGCAACTGTCAAGCAAGCAGCCAACGCTCTAGCTCCTATCAACCAGCAAACCAGCCAGCCAGCCAACCTATCCATCCATGCCATACACCAGCCACTCTCGCATTGCCCTTTTCCCTTCCCATGTTTAAAATATCCATCGCTAGGTCGTGCCGCTTGTCAGGTAAAAGCTACACAATACACACTCGCCTTTCGTTGTTGACCCAATACCCGATACCAAGAAAAGAAAACTATCATGACATACGTTATATATCACATATATGCCTATATATATTGTGTACGATCAGACGCTGCAATCTCTGATAAGATGCTCATTTTTC